TTTCAAAAAAGGAGAAAAGAAAACTCTTTAAACCCAGGACTCATTCTTAGGTGTAAGGTGCGTGGGAGCTGGACGCAGGCCTACCCTTCCGCTCATAGACTTTCTCCAAGTGGGATGATGGGGAGGCGCCTGCGCTGGGGTTGCGGCCCTCCACAGTGGTGCATTCACTGCATTGATTTTTTTTATTGAGATAAAAAAAATGCCAGTATCAAAAAATGGCAGATAAAAATTTATATACCATAAAATTCATTTGAAAGCGCACATCAGTGGATGTAGCCTATTTCACTATGCTGTGCAAACATCACTACTGTGTAACTCCGGGACATGTCCATCACCCCCAGAAGAAACTGTGTACCTGTTAGCAGCCAGTCCCAAGTCCTGCCTTCCCCATCCCAGGCAACCCATCCATCTGTCTCTATGGATTCTTCTACTCTGGACACCTTTTCCCTTATCTCTCTGTGTGTTCACTTCATCTGAATGCCTCATTGACGATTCCCTGCTGTTACACCAAGAGAAATACTTGAGAGGGGAAGGCCAGGGCAGTATTAAAATGTCAATCAATAGATTATCCTTTCACTGCAGCCAGACCCTCTTAGCCAACCCAACTTTCCCTGTAGATCAGTGTCCTTAGCCAGAAAAGGAATTCTCCACCCATCTCTTTGGTCCTTTCTACCTGCTACCTGTGATCCCTGCCAAATCAATCAGCCGCTTTACACGGTTGAGGGTTAGGTGCTCCCCAGCCTATCACCAACCCAAAGCGCCACTTTAGAGACTGCACTTCATCCCTGGCCTTTCGTGAGTTGTGCAGCGGGTCTTTGGCGAGAACTAATCCAGTCCTAAACTTCACCTGCATTAAGATTCTCCCTGCTGCTGCCATGTAAGTGGGCTCAGCATGAGCAGGGGATCCAAACGGGGTCCTGGTTGTCAGACCTCACCCTGGGGCTCCCACCCCTGGCTGCTCATCAGGTCAGCTGTGGAGCTTTCAGAGGTGAGACCGGGGCCCCTCATGACAGATGCTGCTTCAGTGGGTTTGGAGGAAGCAGAAACAGGTCTGTGCTTTTCAGTTCCTCAGGTGACTCTAACAGGCAGTGGAGGTTGAGGACCACTGCCTTCCTCAGTTTTTCCTCTGTTTCCTGGCACCATGACGGAGGGGAGGCCAAAGGGTAGTTCAGCTGTGGAGCAGCTGTGGGGGTCTGGCTTAAGTCTTTTGTCAAGGAATGTGCTTTGGCATTCATGATGGGGAGGGAGCTAGGACAGGGGCACGATCCAGCCAGAACGGATGCTTTTCAGCATGTCTAAGTCCCCATGGTCAAGGCCCTCGTTGCTTCCTTTCTGTCTCGGGAGTTTAGTTGGTGCCAGAGAGTACAGGATGCCTTATCTTTCACCCCAACTGGAGCCACCTGACAGCCAGGGCTTTGTGTCACAAGCCTCAAACCCTCCACGGTGCCTGTCACATACAGTCTGGACTCACTACTAAGCACAATGGATTGGTTGATTTCTCCCTCCACATGGCAGGGGGACTTACCCAGCTGGATGTATTCATTGGACAACTTCTAGTGCCTGGCCCCCAAATAGGAGGGTTGATGTAAACTAAAGCCAGCCAGAAGCGACTCCAAATAGCTTGGCAAAGAGGAAAATGAAGGGATCCATATTTTCTTAGGCAAGGGCCATCCACCAAAACTGTCTTTTTATTCCACTGGCATGTAATTTATTTCCTTCCTTTCTTCTTTCCTCCCTCCCTCCCTCCCTCCCT